CTCCAAGTGCAAAAAGAGTGAAGAATATCGCACAAAAGCCTGTCATTACTCTAAATGTGATGGCAGCAGGCCAACTAAACATCAGGGATCCTTTGCATGCACTAAATGTGATCTCATCTTTATATACAAGAGTGGCCTCAGTTAATCTGAGTGACATAGGCATGCTGAATTACGAAAAACACCTAGAAATCTTAAAGACCAACTCAAAGCCAGCAAAGAGGACCTATAAATGGACGAAAGAAGAAATTTAAACTTCTCGGAGAGGTAGAACAATAGTTTGCAGGATGTTCATTCATAAATAAGAGCTAGCAACCTCAACAGAAACACCTAAACAGATTTCAGATGACACAGTTGCAAAGTACTGTAGCAGGAATAAAGACCGAAAAAACTGCGGACGCTGTAAATCAGGAACAAAAACAAAGTTGCTGGAAAAGCTCAGCAGAACTGGCAGAATCTGTGAAGGAAAAAACAGAGTTAACGTTTCGGGTTCGGTGACCCTTCCTGTAGCAGGAACCCACACCCTGGTGCCTGATAATCATCCACAGAACAACCATGATGACTGTCCAGGAGGTGGGATTTCCAATCAGATAGAGGTCCCCTGACCAAGCTAAGAGAGTTATTCAACTATCAGCCTGTAACCCCAAATACAGGGACATTAATGATCAACCCACACAGGCATAAGAACTGATAAGTTAAAAAAGAGGACCCATGATATCAGAGCACTAGAGTTGGGCCTTTATAGCATGTATAATCGACTTGTTGATGAATGAAGAATAACGACCAAAACCTACTTCCAGGATAAGGGAAGGAAGGAACAAACAGAAGAAAAGAACGACTATATGGAGCCACGAAGAATAACAGTGCAAAGAAGTGCTGGGCAGCTTAAAACAAATGTCCCAGTTCTGAGAAACACACCTACTCCCCAAAAATGACAGATAACAATTAGCCTGACAAATAATGGGGGCTCTGGCGACCACTGTTTTCCCCCTTTCAGAGGAGGACCTGGAAAAAGAATTTTTCGCAAAATTATCTGTGCCCAATAACAAAACAACTCAAAAAGTTCAAAATTAGTTCCGGCAATGTGGATGATGGTCAATTTGATGCGACCTATTGAGGAGGAAGAGGTTAATGCTGCCATCAAACAATACCAAGAATGCAGCTGGGCCGGATAGACTGAAATTGAAGGACATTCAGGGCGATCACCACGGTGACATTACGCACCTTCCCAGACACTTCTCTTTCTAACTAAAATTAAGCACAATTCTGTATTCTCATAAGGGTCGTGATTCCTAAAATAGAAGACACAAAATGCTTGAAAAACATAGATAACTGGGGGTCAATCACAATTGGACCCATAATATTTCACCTTTTTAAGGCTAAGAGACTTAGCGAAATAGTACAGATTAACCCTATACAAAAGAGTTTCTTCACGGTGATCTCGGGATGCAACGAAAATGTAGCAGTCCTGGAAAACATCAAAAAGTGCCAAAAGGAACAAAAAGGACCTGTCAGTTTTTCACCTTTGCTCTCGCTAAGGCTTTTGATTCAGGTCATAAGTTAATAATCAAGGCTCTGCAAAGAGTCTGTCTCTCAAAATCATTCATACAACAGATCAAAGAATTACACAGCAACAACACCACAACAATTGAAGGCAACAAATCCAGAACAAACCCGATACAAATCATAAAGGGAGTTGAGCAAGGTGACTGTCTCTCGGCTATTGTCTGCAATATCACTTTGGATCTACTGTCATGCAATCTTGAAGAAGGCAATTTGGGAGTTTCCATGATGCTAAACAGAAAGAAGATCAACTGCTCTGTCATGGCCTTTGCTGATGACATTGCGTTGTTGAGTGACTTGCACACTGGAATGGCTCAACCTAACAATAGTCTAGTCATATGGTGATTGTATAGGACTTACAATCAATATCTTGAAGCCTAAAGGCTTCATCTTCATATACAAAAGGAAGACCTTTCTCCATAACTACAAGAAAGACTGGACTTTGAAAAGGAATAGCTTCTGGCCAAGTGGTTGGATCACAGAAGCCCGGGGCCAGGCATTAAATATTACGAGAATGACATGGTTGCAAACTCCTGGGTGAAAACCTCATACGAAATTAAATCATTGCTGCTAATATGGCCTGTTACTATGTTGCAATCTCTACACAACTAGAACTACCCCATGAAGAGGGAGACCGTATTTACAGAAGGAATGCTCAAGGTGCAAAGCACCACAAGAAACATTATCACATATTTCAGGAAGCTACCTATTTGTGAAAAACACACAAATTAAACGCTACAAGAAGATCATGGAGAATCTATAACAGTATGTCAGAAAATATTGATGGTCAACGTACATTGAACCACGACTGAAAGACAAGAATTGATCTCTGACGAAGTCAGACCTGGTTTTCTTGAACGACTGAAGAATTGCAGTGGTCACTGTTACAGTACGTTTTGAAGATAACATGAAGTCACTTGGATTCATGATGGGAGTCAGAGGAATGTTGCTTGAACAGAACAATATCCTAATGCATTTCCTGTGCATCCAATGATACAAGTTACTCGCTCAAGACGTATGAAGACTTACAATATCCCTGATTGCTGGAACTACTACAAATCTTCAGCCATAGACATTATAATCAGAGATAGTAGAAACTGCAGATGCTGGAGAATCTGAGATAACAAGGTGTAGAGCTGGATGAACACAGCAGGCCAAGCAGCATCAGAGGAGCAGGAAGGCTGACGTTTCGGGCC